TCTGTTACTTATGAATTATCAGGAAACTTCCTTTTGATTTCTCTTGTATGTGTCCAAACCATCAAACTTCCAGTTCTCCAGTGCTGGGATTGTCTTCCTGGTTACTCTGCAGTGCTGCCATAATGCCTAATGCTCTGGTTCTGACCAGTGCTTCCTGGCTTGGATCACAAAGCACAGAGGATAAATTAATTAGGTTTGCAAAACAGGTCATTTATAGCCATCTCTTTGCCAAATTCAGTACTGATAGGCTGTCTTGTATATGTGAGGGTCATCTGGCCATTAAGGTATCAAGTGTAAATCATGTATATGCTAGGAGAAGATAACTGGAGCTGGCATAAATGCACACTGCAGTCTTTACATAAAGGCAGCTATGCTTACAAAAACAAATTGATGTGTTAAACTTTTTCCTGCCGGAGTGACAAATTAATGCATGTTACGCTGCTGTGCTACCTGCTCCTTTCTCCTAAACAATTTATACCTGGTTTTCATCATCATTTAGTCAAGCCTACTATGAAGCAGCACAGAACCATTTCCTTTTCCCTAGGAATGTCCTTCTTTAAAGGAAAGTCCAGTGGAGCCAATTGTACATGTTTTTGTTGAAGCGAAGCAAATACCTGAACAGTTAATACTTTGATTCAAATGGAAGTCTGAAATACCCATAATAATTGAAAATTAGAACAGTTTTTTGCCAGTTTTATGAAATTTTTCATTGATGATCATAAACTAAGAGATGGAGATAGACTGTATCTTATGAGCTCCAAAAAAATTTTTTTCCCACTTTATTAAAAAAGTCAAAAAATAAATTCAGCTTTCTATATTAAGATAACCTTTGAATACAAGTGGTAGAGAAATTTTATTTTCTTCTTAATTCTTTCTGTGTTTAGTTTAAAAATTAAAAATATATATTTACCTCTTGTGCCATCTACTTTCTCTTCCTTTGCATTTCAGAGCAGCTATAGATTTTACAAATTGATTAACAGCATGACAGAAAGCTGTTGCTTTTACTTAGCTTGAGCCTCACTGCTCAACGGCAGGATTGGTGAGAGAAATATCAGGAGTGCCCAGAATATGCACACTGAAACTGCTCAGAAAACTAAAGAAATCAGAAATCTTTGGTCATCTTCTGTGAGACACAGAAACAACAGGAGATTATCCAGGATTGATGTTATATATGTCAAAACATGAAGCATGTCTCTGCTTCTGCTGAAGTCCACAATTTAAATCAGCCTAAAGTCGCCCTGCGACAGCCCTGCCCTCCTGGTGCTCTGGTTTTGCACACCCCTGTCCTCACGCTGTGTTTCGTCCCTGACCACTGCGCTGGCTCGGACACCCAGCCTGTCCCGCTGCGACTGAAGACAAGGAGCCTCCATCCCGGTCTCCTTTTTCCCAGTTCAGCTTTCATCACCAGTGCCCTGGATGGCGTCACTCAGGCACGGTCCTTGTCCAACACTCAGTGCCCCAGGGCTGCACTGCCCAGCCCCGGCCCTCCCTGAGGGGACGGCAAAACCCACCTCGGCTCTGGAGTTCGTAGAGTGATGGGCCAAAAAATGAGGAAGGCATGAAGCAGCACTGAGGAGCTTTTATGTTGCTTACTTTGAACTAATAACCACTAAGGCCAATAAAATTTGCAAAGTAGCGAATGATGCAAAGCTGACAGGAGCTTCTGTGCATCAGCATAAGAAGGGGATGATAAATGAAAAGGAAGTTAATTTTCTGTTAGGAAAAGGAAATGCTTCTTCCCATATATAGTATGTGGTACGGATGGCCGTCGGGACCAAGAATTGCCCCTGTCATCATTACTGATGATAACAGGAACATTCACAGACATAATAATTAATGGAAAAAAAACTTGAAAGTGACATAAAATTTCATGCTTCAGACCTTAAGTCAATACCTATTTATTAGAGATGTAAGACTAAGCATGAACAGTGAACTATGGATTATGAAGTTACTTTTATCCTTTAACAAGCCCCTAATCTGTTATGTATTCATCTCTTAAATCAGCAACACATACCAGGTTTATCTAAGATAAGTCTTGGTCACATTATTTATCTAATTTATCCCATTTATTTCACTAGAACCTCTTGAGTGATTAAAGCAAATAGAATTTGGTGGCAAGATTTGCTTCACAAGTTCACGCCTCCATCCTCTTACCTGATCTTGTTACAGTCTCCAGTTAGTCCCAGATTTCTGTGGCTCTGAAACTGTTGTTCCAGATAGGAATTTGTTAGCTGTGTAGAGATGGATTTTTTTCCCCTGTTCAATATTTGATCTCAGTGACTGTATCTTAGAAATTAATTGTTTTTCTTCCTGCCATATTTCACTGTAAATATGTAGCCAGTTTCTCATGAACTTTCAGTCTTTCTCCTGGTTTCTTCTCCCTGTTGAACATCTGTGGGTTTTTAAATTCCTCTTTAGTGCTCGTGATCAAATGCTTGCCAGAATACTGCAGTAACTGTAATACTTGGAGGCTTTAAGACATGTCACTCCACTGAAACAATCAGAAATTTCCAGAATAAAATATTCAATCCTAAGGGGAAAAAAAAAAAAAAAAAAAAAGAAAAAGTGAGTGACTGTTTTGGTTTTGCCACAAGGAGACTTTATTTTGTTGAAATGTAAATGAAAATTAAGTTAGCTATGAAAGGTTGCAGCAGAAGTTTAACATTTATATTCATTAGACAGAGAAGTGATCTGCTGCCCAAGTAGTAGGGATATAATTTCTTGTGATGCTTCATTATCACATTTACCATATGTTTCATTATTCACTGTTATTCTTTTGCATGAAGACAAACAGTAAAAAACAGTAAATAACAGTAAAATAACAGTGATAACTTGTATTATGTTATAGATAAAAATAGCTTCCTGTTCTGGATTTCATTCACTTTATTTCACCCCACTGTCTCTATTTCTAATGTTTCCCAGCACTCTGATCACTTGCATATACATTTGCAGGGGGAAGTCAACGGAGCAGTATTATGGCAACTCTCTTAGCGGACATTCCTTACAGCCACCTCTTGAGCTCATAGGGCACTGTCTTAACTTCCAAGCTTTACAGGCTCTCCCTTCTTTTGTGAACTTTCTGTATTCCCTAAAGCATCTGAAAAATACCGTTTTTTTTTTCTTTCTTCTTAACTGCTGGTTACAAAACTGACAGGTGATGAGATTTGTGATAGGACAACAAAACAGCGCTTAAAAGCATAGTCTCAGAATCTGAAGAGCATGTTTTCATGTGTTTCACTCTGTTAGAGCAATTTAGCTCAGAGCAAGACTCTCTTTCAATCTCTACTAGAATTGAGTGGCATCAATAGTAATTCAAGACATGCTTCAAATGAAGGTTTTCACTTCCTAGGTCTGCCTGACTCGCTTTTATTTATGATCACTCTTTTATTTATGATTATGAGAATCAAAATTTAAAAGTAGTCTTCTCTAGGCTCACTTTTCCCGTAGGCTAGCCTGATGACACAGGCTCAGCAGTCCCAGGTATTAACAAATTCCTAAACTGGCCTCTTCTCTCCAGAGAGCTGCAACATAGCCTCATCTCAAAAAGCACGAGAGGCGCTCCTTCTGACTTTATTTCTCATGAGACCATATTTGTATGATGGGAAGAGGAAATCTTGCAGAATCCTTTTTGGACTCAAGTAACTCCAATTCCAAGGTGTCCTGAGTCACTGTTGCAATGTCTAATGCATTTAACAACACCAGAAAAAGGCAAACCTTTTCCTTAAGTCATTCATTGGCTTGGTCTCTACATGTTACATTATGCTATTTCAGCATTACTGATACAGGAAAACAATAAAACAATAGTTTTATCTTCCTGCAATTATACAAGAAATGTATTGGACTCGATTTTCCTGTACAGGAATATGGAAAGCTATATCACAATGCGCTTTTTTATCAGTTGCTAATTTTATGAATTATGAATATATGTGCTTTGGGGAAAAAACAGTTCCATAACAGAAATGCTCTTATTAGTACCAAATAAGTATAGCGGGCTTAGACAATTAGAAAATTCAGCTGTGAGATATTAATAACTAAATATCTATCTCTACAAAATCTCTAAAATTTTGTAAGGAAGCAGTATTGGCACAGTTCTACATCTGTAGAGCTTTCTTGGATGTTCTATTAAGCCTTTTGCTGAAAGACAGAATCTATGTTAAACCAGCCTCAGACTTGCTCTGCTCATCAGACAAAGTCTTAGTTCTGCTCATGTTCTCCCAGTGTTTCAGACCCATTTTTTTCTCTGTATTTCCATATGCTCTGCATTTAGGTGTATCCCCCCTTCAGTGTATGTTCTAAGGATTTAAGGTTTATTGCAGGATAATGGGTAAAAAGTCACTGCTTTTGATATTACTTGTCCAAGTATCTAGTAGCTTTGTATATATTTTAACATTTTTTTGCATGTCTAGAATTTCCTTTTATTAGCCGTATTGTGGATATTTTTAAAACATATGCTTCTTGTGTAAGTAGCCAATCTTGCCTAATTCCAGCCAGTACACCTGGAAGTATTTTTAAAGGTTAAAGTGTGGCATACTGTAAAGTAGAAGTTTCTGAACAATATTTTGTTCCAGTATATTGATGCTACTTTCTTAATATACTGTATCAACACAGATCCCACAATTCAGATGATAACAAGAGGGGAAAAAAAAAAAATCTTCCTTTATTTCTCTTATAAGCTTTAGCCCATGCAGAAACAACCTCAGAATCCCCAATGTGTACCTACCCAGCACAGGTCTTAGCAGACACAAATCCTCACTAACTCTCTCTCATCTTCACTGTAATCTGGGACTCCAATTTCCACACCTTGCTTCCTGATTGAAATAAGAAGTTGCTGTCAATACTCATCTGACTTTGAGAGACACTTTCAACTAATACTGAGGTTTGCAAAGAGCGCTATGTTGCACCATCTTCATTTTTAAGTAGCGTAATCTTAAAGTGATTTCTGTTGTGAAGTTTCCATCAAATTAAACTTGATTTCTTTTTTTTTTAAATTCTTTCCATAGCTGTAACTTACACAAGTTACAAAAAAACACCGCCACCGGTACCCCCTCGTACCACTTCCAAGCCACTGATCTCAGTCACGGCACAGAGCAGCACAGAATCCACCCAGGACGCATATCATGACAGCCGGACTCAGAGGATTTCCCCGTGGCCACAGGACGGGCGAGGGATGTACAACTCCACCGACAGTTTGGACAGTAACAAGGCCATGAATCTTGCCTTGGAAACTGCAGCTGCACAGCGCCACGCCTCCGAGAGCCAGAGCACCTCGATACGAACCAGTGACAAGGCCATTTTAGTGACAAAAGCAGAGGAGTTTCTGAAGAGTCGACGTTCCTCCATAGGGATCCAGGTAGCCTATCATTAACATCTTCTCTGTGATGAATTGCTTGCCTTCTTTCTGTAAATAGCATAGAATGAGTCATTCAGCTTCACTGGTTCTAATAATCTAACAAACAACCCCTGGCTGCTTAGCGTTAATTGTAATTCACATCATGGCAATGTGGCTGTACAGCAAACTCTTCGGCTAATATGCTGTACCTGGAAGAAAATGAATGAATAAATCTCTGGGGAGGTTCCCTGTCATTAACACTTGATATGAAAATTATACTGCAGAGCTACAGGTGAACAGCATGTTCATCTCCTGCCCTCCATGAATTCACAGTCCTTTTTATAGAATTATGCTAGCTTTAAAATGCTTGACTCTATTTTTTCCATTATCTTTCTCTTTTGACCTTGGAAAATGTGTAATGCTGCTGGGTCTTCAAGTTATTCTACCTAGAAAGAGCCCCCCCCACTGCCCTTTCTTTTAGTTTTGCTGGGGAAAAAGTACCAAGGAAGAGAAAGAAATGTGCTGATGTAGATGCAGCACAATTATAGATTGTGAGTAATGACAGAGCGTTAATAAAAGCACAGTCCTTGAGCACTCCTCCATTTGTCCACCAAAAAAATGGAGTATGTATTTCACCTGACAAAATGTCTGTCAGTCTGTGGAAACCTCAGTTATGTTGTGTTGTTTCAGATGAATGAAATGATTCCAAATGAAAATTCTGAATGCTATTCCTTCTGCTAAATGGAAAGCACTATAGATAGCACTGGTCATTTGTTTAGATCTCTAGGAAATACCAAGTAGTAATAAAAATCAGAAAGTTGAACTTGCAAGGAATATAATGTCCTTTGAGAAGTAGAGGAAAATTTAGGTTTCTGTTGTGCTGTTACTTATACACATTTATAATTTTAAGTATGTGAATATTCCCTTTTACATCACTAGGTTCACTTTTGTGCTTAAAAATCTCTACTTTTGCCAGATCAACTATAGAGAAAATGCCATGTATTTTGGCATAGTTGCAGCTATTGTGGAGACAGCAACATAGATCTTGAGCAGATAATAGTCCATGTAGCAAAGCCCAGTGAGTGTCTGTCCATCTACTAGGAGTACATTATTTTCTTTAAAAAGTAGTAATTCCATTTCCATTAATTTCAAAATACAGAGGAAAGTATTTGGGTTAAGCATGTCCAAGCTACTGATTGAACTTCACTGTTTAACTTCTTAGTGTGGCACAATTCTGCTGTTCCACAACATATTAGACTAATGGGAAGGCATATGCTTTGCCAACAAGCTGCATGTCCATTTCTCAACACAAAAATACTGCTTCTGCTTCTTGAGATGCAGAAGAGTCAAATGCAATTTAACAGCAGTGCTAAAATATTCAGATGGCTACTTTTCAAATGTTTTACAAAGTAATTAGTGTATCCTAAAAAAAAGAGGCTTAGCAAATAACAGTGAAAAGCTCAAATGAACAGCAAGTCATTTTTGGTACCTCTTAGCCCCTAACCTGAAACTTACTCTTCAGAGAGGAATAGTATCTAGTGTTGTTCTTATCTCTTCTTTACAGCAGCTGTGCACACTGGTATTTAGCAATGTTGGTGTCTTGCTTCAGTCAGTCCTGGTATTTCAGCAATTAATTCTGAAACTTTGATTACATCACTTCATCCTGTTTCTTACTGCAGGTGATGATCAGGACTTTTCACTGGGCTCTGACCCTTCTTGGTATGTGGTGTGTTTAATAATATGTTCTTATAATCCACATAAAACTTCTGTGCAATGATTTCCATGAAGGCAGCAGATCTTCTGTAGCAACTCGCCATCTGACGCTTGGCCTATAATACTGGTCCTCAGGTGCACACACTGAAAAAAGCAAATATTGTTTGCAACAGCAGGTCTTAGAAGGATGAGCTGTTTGTTATCTTTTGAGAAGTACAAACTGCTTGGTTGTACCATTTGGCATTAGATAAGGTTAAAACTGCAAAATTACCCTCAACACAGTATCCTGAGAACACATTTTAGTTGTTAGGGGTTTTTTTCTGCAGGAAATTTCAAAGTTCACATTAGTGTGAAAAATACCTTTCTGCAGCATTTCTAAGCAGAAAATGCGTTTTGTTGTATTCCTGTTGCCAGACTTGTAAGGAATAAAAACACGGGGTGAAATATTCTTATTGCAAACTACATAAATAGTAATTTCTGCCCCCAAAATACAGTTGAAGTATTTAATTTCTTTTAGACTTCTGCATCAAAGCACCTTAGAAAAGGATGTTTTTTATTTCCATATTTCCTTGATTGACTAAATGACTTGTTTTCTCATTAGCATGCCATGTCAGGGTAATGCATTTGATTTGCATTTATTTGCATTAATTAATTTGCTATCAGGATGGTTAATTTGTGCATTTTTTAATGCTTTATTCCTTTAACACATTGCTGTGAGAATGCTCGCCAATGGAGCTTCATGCAGGAGCAGAGAGGCACAAAGATAAAGAACAACCAGTGATGCTTCTGCATGTGGACCCAGCCTAGGGCTCCCATGTCTTTGGTATATATGATTTGTATAGTGTACATGTAATGAACAGTAATCCTATAGGGGAGCACTGGACTTACTATGAAGATCAGTAGCACCCTGTCTGCAGGGACAGAGAACAGCACAGGTATGGTAACCCATCTCATAGTATGTTAAATGTAACCCAGATGGGAATTTTGAACAAAAAAAGCTTCAGGAACAAAGCTTTTCCAGAAAATAACTGTTGGTTTGCTGTTTAGGTTTTTGGTTTGTTTGTTTCTTTTTTTTTTTTTTTTTTCACTGCCATATCTAAATCAGGAGGAATATTGTCAGATGTATCAGTAGGCACTGGAAAAAAAAAAAAAAAGTTGATTCCCAAATTCAAATGAGTTGCAAAATATCACTTCTGGGATTAAAAATATAGTCAGCATTCTTAAGAATATATACATACAAAAAAGAATAAAATTCTAGTAATAGTTGTAGCTATAGTCTTCATATCTGTCTTCTATCATGGCAGCAGAAGACTAATCAAAGTATTGGAATTAAAATGGAGATAGAGATTGTCTAGAGTAAAATAACCACTATGTCAAGAACAAAATTATTGCTAATGTATTTTCAGGGATTCTCCTTGCTCTTTTGCACAACCTTGTATATATGCTAATGATTAACATTCAAAAACTGCTCTAGTTATAAACCATTTTGTATTAAAAGCATTTGGATTGTAAAATATATGAGAAAACATGTCAAGAAATTGCTCCTTATTTTTTTCAAGTATTTCAATACATGCAGGCCTTTGTTTCTTCTCTAAAAGACATCAAGGCTTCTCAAAATGAACAGAAACCCTGGAAGGATATGAGATGGAAACAAATGTTGTAAGTGTGGAGGCTGATTCATGATGGTATTTTTGGAGATGAGCACTAATTGTAGCGTAGAGAATGGACCCTGTCATCTTCATTTATCATCAGGAGGTCATGCTTAAAAATATCTATCTTTTTTTTTCTAATCTCTAGAATCTTCATTAAACAAATTGTTCTTGTAAATCAAAAGCTGTATTCAGGAGGATTAGTGCAGTAACTCGCCTGCCTAATTTTTTGTGTCAAAAGAGGATCTTCTTCACAATATTTATACATATATTTAATGAAATTATTAACATCATGTGATAAAAACTTTGTTCAAGAAACTCTGCAGTCTCAAAGTGGAATTTCCTTTTAAGGTAAAGTATTTTGTACCTACATGGTACATATTGGATAAGCATCTACATTTTCTTTGTACTGTTTAGGTTATACCATCCTTGTCAGTGCTCTACTTCAGTGTACACATAGCAATAAAACGAAATATTCACAATGAGTACACTGGGCTTTGGATCATAAATGAGCCAAAGTTTCAGAGTTAAGCATTGTTCATTCACCTCCTAAAATCACTGTCAGGCTGTGCTTTTGTGAGAGAGAAGTGCATGAAGTCCTTGGCCTGCAGAAGTCAGTGAAGGTTTTGATAACACCTCAGCGGTACAGAAGATATAACCTATAGCCTTTAGAGTTAACATTGACCTATACATATATATATGTGTGTTTGTGTGTATATATATATGTAGAGACATATATATATATGTGTATATATATACACACACACATGAGTCAGAATTCACCAGCTTAGTTGGTTAGCAGAGTTCCCAGCCAGTGGTTGCATTTTGGCCTCTTCAGTTGTCAAAAATCTTAGCAGTTGGAATTGTAGTTAAAACAAAGCTATGGTTATTTTAAAGCCATCTAATTTTGTAATCTTTTCACAAATTACTGTTGCTCATTTTCTTAACTGCCATGTAACATAATGAAACATTCAAAGTGGAGAAGATACAGATTGCTGCCTTGCAGAATATTTGTTGGTTCAGACCAATTTGCCACTTAGCATTAAATGCACTAAAAAAGTTATGAGCAACCACTGCTTATTTTGTTGTTGCTATCTTATATTAGCTTGACACAATCCTCTTTCTAAACTGGCATGCATTTCAACAAGTGCTTTCTTATAAGACCAGCAGAAGTTTTCAACCCATTGTAGCATATTCTCATGGTAATTAGCACTTACTGTGCCACTGCAATGTATTTGAGTAGTCCAGATGTTCTGCTGGGAAGTAGTGGAGTAGCAGAATGGAGTCCTGTGGTGAGGCACAAGAAATCACTCAAGCAGAAAGTGTAGGTTTATCTTTGTGGGTTTCTAAAAATTATTTTGAAAGAGTATATGGTTTTTGGCTGATAAAAGTATTCCATCAGTTAAGAAAAGCAGTAGCAGTTAGTACTGTAGTTTTATTTGAAGTATTTTTCCTACTTTGAAGTCACTGCATATAAATAAGATCTCCCTGTACCTAAGAATAGTTATCTGCATTCACAATTACACGTACTTGATCTAGTGTCAAATGTAGTGTTTTCTTCCCTTTTTTTTTACTCTTGTTATCACTGTGAAGTCTATGTGAGAAGAAAAAGGTGAATTATTTCCCTTCCTGTGCATCATCAGAGATTGTTTATAAAAT